ATTTTAAATATTTTATAAATGCCCTATCTGTCATAATGTATTTCACTATTAGGTAACAGATTGTCAAGAAAAAAAAGTGTTAGGATAAGCAAACTAAGCCCATTAAAACCTTGTGAGAGAAGTTTATTTCAGTAAGACAATAGGAACTCTTAGGTTAACTTTATATTTCTCATATGCTACACCTACTTTTTGTCTGTGTTCCCATTTTCTGCTTTGTATACTTCTGTCATAGTATCTGTATGACACAAGCTCCATCTTCTTAGCTGTCTCCCTCTAGAAGACCATAAATTCTAAATGTCTTAGTCATTTCGAAGGTCTGCAACAGTATCTACCTGACTCAATAGATTTCCCCTTTTCCATAGAATCTCTTTGATTTGACTGTTGAGGAAATATTTCTTAGTGGAGAGTTCGTGACTGGATTTTAGAAGGCCACAGTTCCAATCCTTGCTCTAGTTCTGTTATTAATCAATGTCTTTGAGAAAGTTAATTAATCTCTAGAGGCACCTAAAATACAAGGGATTGAGTTAAGTTGTCACTAACATTTTCTTGGATATAAATTCTGATTTTCAGAACTCAAACATCTGTGATGTACTTAATAATATAAGGAGAGTAATGAAAGATTTTTGAAAGTATAATAGCATACCATTGTAACTAAAAAGATAAGACGATATTGAGCCATTAGTACTGTTGAAATCCTATAAATAAACACAAAATGAATTCTGGTTCAAGTGCTCTCTCAGATTTTAAGTACAGACTCAGACTATTTGGTTTTGATTTACAATGCTTGATGGCAATGACATTTAGAGTTTCCAAAAAGAGTCAATGTCCATCCAAAATTTGTTGAAAATGTCGCATAATATCTTCTTTGTGGGAGAAACTGGCTCAGCTGTCCATGGGTTACATGTAGATATATCATCCTGAATCACTGGCACCAGTGCCTAATGCCAAACAAAAATCCCTAAACTATTAAGTATTAAGCAAGATATTTAGCAATACCAGGAGTTTCGAAAGTACATCTTACTTTGGCTCAGGATACCTAGGGAAGAGGACAGGTTTTTAGGATTAAATTGAACCTTGAACATCAAGCTATTTCCTGCAGATGTCACAGTTCATGAGGAAAAAGAAAATCACTCTTCAAGGACATATTTACATGCCAAGTAGACCTGATCATGTTCTTCTGTTTATGTCAGTTGGTCAAAGTGTTTGTTGAACAATATTGCTGAGCATGCAAATCAGCTCAAAATTCCAGGACCATTAGTGCTCACCCTGCTCTCAGTGGAAAAACAAAAATCACTCTATAAATGATTAAAAAGATTATCCATATGCCTATAAAGTACATTTTTTGAAGCTGTCATGGATAATGCCTAAAGGAATCTTTAAAATGTGGTTAAAGAACCAGCAGAAGGCATAATGAAGCATAATGGTTACAACACTGGATTCCCACATAGTTGACCGTGATTTGAGTCCCCGACCTGGAGTCTTAAAATTCACAGTGGGTGCCTGTGTGTTCATGCCCAAAATCCTGAGAGGAGAATGGAGGAGAAGGAATTGCAGCATGACCATCATCTCTGGGGGGTGATCTAGACACAGGAACGAGAGAGGGTAGGGGTTTCCCGGCCAATGCACCAAAACATGATGCAGGAATGTGTAAGTGTTGTGATAAGGCTAACATTCACAGCGAGACATGAGTTTTTGTCCCACGCTCAGGAAGAATTAGAGTCATGGACACAGAGAGTAGTTATAGCAAAGTTGGGGGGGTATTAAAAAAAAACAGAGAAAAAAATGGAGCGCCCAAGAAGGGAGGGGTCTTGGAAGATGGGTTGTCAAGAAAGAACTGTGGTGAGGGTTTTTTTTTTTGGGTCATGAAGAGATTTGTGGGGACTTTTTTTGGGTGGGACTTGTGTATGTATCCCCTTCTGGCAGGGAGGGGCGCATGTTGGATGGTTCCAATTATTTTCCTAATTTTGGATTGGGTACCAAGGTCAGGAGATTTTTTTTGTCTCAAAGTTTGGGCCATAAAAAACGTTATCTTTTTCCTGAAATGTGGTGGGCCATAGAGAAAGCTTTTGTTTTAGGTCTAGGTCATGTTGCCTAGGTCAATCACTGAGCCACCACTGCCTCAACCTCAAAACTTAGCAATTTTGTAATTCCATTTTGGGACCTACCTTAACAATATTTTTAGAGTCCCTATCTTCTACCTCAGTTTCTCGCCTTCTATTTCTCTCTGTCTCCATCAAGCACAGGTACCTTATAACAAATTTCTAGAAAACAAACCATCAAAAAAGTGGTTAAATAAAGCTGTGAAGTAGAGACACTCAGATCAATATCTGCTTATGTGTGGAGTTTCCTAAATACTTGTGAGGATTTTTTTAAGAAGTATTTTATTATTTAACTTTATTTATTTATTTATTTATTTTTAATTTGACCAGAGAGGGACAGAATAAGAGAGAGAGAGAGAGAGAGAGAGAGAGAGAGAGAGAGAGAGAGAGAGAGAGAGAGAGAGAGAGAGAGAGAGAGAGAGAGAGAGAGAGAGAGAGAGAGAGAGAGAGAGAGAGAGAGAGAGAGAGAGAGAGAGAGAGAGAGAGAGAGAGAGAGAGAGAGAGAGAGAGAGAGAGAGAGAGAGAGAGAGAGAGAGAGAGAGAGAGAGAGAGAGAGAGAGAGAGAGAGAGAGAGAGAGAGAGAGAGAGAGAGAGAGAGAGAGAGAGAGAGAGAGAGAGAGAGAGAGAGAGAGAGAGAGAGAGAGAGAGAGAGAGAGAGAGAGAGAGAGAGAGAGAGAGAGAGAGAGAGAGAGAGAGAGAGAGAGAGAGAGAGAGAGAGAGAGAGAGAGAGAGAGAGAGAGAGAGAGAGAGAGAGAGAGAGAGAGAGAGAGAGAGAGAGAGAGAGAGAGAGAGAGAGAGAGAGAGAGAGAGAGAGAGAAAGAGAGAAAGCAAGCTGCCAGGTTCGGGACTCAAACCACGTTCGGCCATGTGAAAGTCCAGCGCCCTTAACCACCAAGACACCTGCTAGACCCATATTTATGAGTTTATTTATGAGTTTTTAACAGGGGCTCTATTTAGCCTCAAGTTCAGTTATCAGTTTTATCACTACAATTATGAGAGTGGAAAATTATTTAGCCTGACCAAGCACATTAGACAATGACTTGTAGATCAGATGATTACTTTAGCTTGGGAGATAAATGTGGCTCTCTATCCTTTTCTAAATGGCAGAGCAATCCAGAGACCAAATAACAAACCAACCCCTCTCCCCCACAGTGTACCATAAAGGGGAAATTCAGCATGCCAAATGGAGTTTTAGATCAAATTAACATATCTTGAGATGTTATTCTTCTTCCCTGCAGGGATATTTCTGTCTAGACACCTAAGAAGGGTCATTAGAATCTGTGCACTTCACCCTATTGGGGACTGACAATGCATGCTGATTTACATCTCCTAACTACTATTTTTTATAACAGTGGTTCTCTCTGCACATACTCACCGTAGTACATTGCATCACATTCCAATCACATCAGAATCCTGTCTTTTCCCTAAGCTTGTGATGCTTTGTACTATCCATTTATTTCATTACTTAATGAATAGTCTTAACTTGAGTTTTATTTCCAAAATCACAGGGTTTATTTGGATGCAAAAAGGATAGAGAACATGGAAAAGTACAGAGAAAAACTCACTCTTATTCTCATTTTTATTCCTTGAAAATGTTCCAGAGTCTCTAGAATTCCTTCAAAAATTATAATTTTTAGTTTAAAAAGTTATGTGTGATTAGCTAAAATTTTGACCAATTTTGGCAAAGTACTTAGATTTCTTAAATATGTATTATGGACCTCCTAGAGTTTATCCTTTTCACATTCTATTTATGCTTCTGTTATAGACAATCTGTCCACATAAGTGTCTGAGAACAACCGTAAATCAGACATTAGTAAACTTCCTATTAATTTTTGTTGAGTATCTAGCCAAAAATCCTCCTGCTGTGTGCTGGGAAGAGTAATCAAAGTTAATTTTTTCTGTTTTCAAAAACTCAAAATTTATCAGAAAGACACGTACAATGTAATTAACATATGTGTAATCATATAGTGGGATGCATCAGCAGGGTTCTGAAGACAGAAGTCTGTTTTTTCCTATTTCTAAAACACTTTCCAGTGGGCCTGGGTGGAGTCACCACACAAAGATTAACAGACCATTTTGACCCATTGATAAGAGGAACTCTTCCTAAGTTCTGTCCCTGGCATAGTATCTTTGTATTATATATTAAGTCTCCTTATCTCTGTTAAAGTACATTCCTTTTGGATTTCAGCAACTGTTATTTTTTTTTCAATCACCAACCTAAAAACTGTAAAACCCACCTATAACCTACAAGGCCCCCCCTCCACATGTCCCTTTTTTTTGAGCCAGACCAACAGAAAAATGTCACTAAATTCCAAACTCTGTCTCTCACTCTCAAAATCAAGTAAAAGAACCCCTGAACCTGATTACCCCAACAAAGGCATGTTTTGCCTCCTTTCTAGGCCTAGGTCACTCATATTCTACTTAGAAAAAAAAACCACATTATTATTTTTGCAGACTTGGTTCTTTCCACTCCAATAGACAGTTCAGTAGAAATAAATGAAAGGGCACAGATGAGATGCCACATATATAATTTTTAAAGTTTATTTATTTATTTTATGGATGTACACATACTGGAGGGAGAAAGGGAGAAAAAAAGAGAGAACAGCAAACCTCGAACCTGCGTAAGTGGGATTTTTTTCACAAAGTGTTCTTACTTCTCTTCTGTGCCACAGTCTGACTCCAACACATACATAATTTTAAACTTTGCAATATGTTATACATAAAAAAATAAACATGTGAAATTACTATAATATTTAACCTAATATGACCAAAATATTAGGTTTTCGAGTATATAAAATGTTTGTTAGACTTTACGTTGTTGTGTACTCTTTGAAGAAAATGTGGATTTTATATCTGCAGCACGTCTCAGTTTGGACTAGCTCCATTTCATGTGCACAGTAGCCAGAGATGGTCAGTGGCTACCATGCTGGACAGCACGGCAAGGTGCACACATGTTCTGAGGAAGCACAGTGCAGTAACGAATAATTCTCGCTGGGGTTCAGGAAAACTGAACAGAATAGTGGACACTTGAGTCTGACCTACACTGGTAAGTAGGATGTTACTAGGTAAAATGGAAATAGATTTTAACCAGATGGTGAAACTCCATGTTGAATTTTGATTTTTGCATTTGAAATTATGGCTAGGTTTTTAAGGCTGAGAATAAAAGGATTGGAGTTTTGCTTTCAAAAGATAAGTGATGGCAGGATAGAAAATGTATTGGAAAATGGAAAGGGTAAGATCAAATAGACCAGACGTGTGACTGCTGCAGACAACAAGAGATGGACTTCCATATCACCTATATGCTTAAGGCTCTCAGTTTTAACCTGTCAACTCAAATCTGTCTCCTAAATTCCAGACTTGACAATGTTATTCTTGATCTCTTCACTCAGGAGGCTAATAGGCATTCTTAAAAAGACAGCAAAAACTCAACTCCTGGTCTTCCACTCAGACTCACTCTGTGCACAGCCTTCCCTGTATCCCCTTCTTGTTTTGCTGCTCAGACTGAAGACCTCTTTGTCTTCTCGTTTCTCATACTCAGTTCCTCAGGAAATTCTCCTGACTCTACATTCAAAGCATATTCAAAATTCTCTACTTCGATTCCACTGTTATCCTATGATCTGAGCCACTAGTTGCCCTTCATTCTTCACTATTACGCTATTCTGCATTTTATTTTTCTGTAGCACTCCCTACCCAAACACTGTATGTTTATTGTTGCTTATTTGTCTCATCTACCTAGAACAACTAAATGCTAAGTCCTTGGGGACAGAGATTTGTATCTTTCAGTTCACTGATACATTTGAAGCTGTTAGAGATTGCTTGACACAAACTAGGTGTCCTGTGAAGGGAAAATGGGAATGGTACTAAGGAAAAAGTGACTGCCTTGATGGGAGCTATCACCATAACCACACTTGTTCCCTGAGCACTTATTTTAGTTAATTTTTGTAAATTTCACTTCATTTTATAATTTCTTATGCACATTTGACTATTGAACATCTCTATGACATGCAATACAGTTTTCACAGCATACATGTAGTATGTGATAATCAAATCAAAATAATGGGAGATGATTGGGAGGGGCTCAGGAAAAAAGCACTTACTTTAATCCTAAGTGCTTTATATGAGCAGACACCAACATGTTGATGGAAAACTGAATCAAAAGTATGAATTTACTTGGGTGCAAAAATGATGTATAGTCATTGAATGTATAAAATAAATTATGATAATAAAAATATCCACACATGATTTATTCATATTACACATCTTCCATAAAAATTTTAGAGTCTCCAGTTAGGTACGATCATGGTCCTCACTTCACAAATGAGGAAACTGAAGCACAGAGTAAGTAACTTTGTGCAGATCACCCAGCTGGGAGGAGATGGGAACAGAACTAGGAACAGAAATTACCTGTCTCCTATATGGTCTCCTGGAGCAACATAAAGGCAAACGGCTCAGACTCACTTGTGGTGAGTACCGAGCCTCAGCACACTAGCAGTGTGACTTTTTATTTTTATTAATTTATTTTATTTTAATTTGACTAGAGGGAGAGAGGGGGAGAGAGAGAGAAAGAAAGAGAGAGAGAAAGTGAGAAAGCAAGCTGCAGGTTCAGGACTTGAACCATGGTTGACCATGTGAGAGTCCAGCACCCTTAACTGCCACTGCACCTGTCAGCCCAGCAGTGTGACTTTGGAAAATCAATTTCATTGTTCTGACATCAAGTTTCCCAGTTTTAAAAGATGCAAATAACATCTACTATGTAGGGATGAGGTTTAAATGAGAAAAATATAATGAAGTGTCTAACAGTGACTAGAAGTCATACTCAATCATTATTAGTTCCACAGTATTTCAAGTGAAGCTCATTGTTGTCTGCTAGATTGTTATTTGTGTTGTCCTTTTTGGTGGATAGGGATGTGACTGAATAAACTCAAGATCTCTTTATAATCATGTTCACCCATTGTCAGTTCTCTAACATTGATAGACACACTCTGCTCCTTTGGTTTTTTCCCTGTGCACCACATCCCATCAGGTGTAGGCACAAACATCTGAGGATGGACTATATCAGAACCAAAAACTGAGACGCAACATTGACTGAACTTAAATAGAATCGCAACTGGTCCATTCTTGAAATGAGGATGGAGACTTCCAGAGGACTCACAACAGTGGGAATAAAAACAGAGTAAGATTTCTTCCCCGAAGTGAGTTGAAAGTGAAAAAGAGTAAGAGGAGTAGATTTGTGTAAATGTTATGATTTTCTGAAATATTTTCATTTAGTGCTCAGTGTGGTAATTAAAATGAAATGATTGTCATTCCGCTTATTATGTCACTATATTTAACAAGCAGATTATAACACATATGTGGTTGGGAATAATAGAATTTAAAGAAATTCAGAAGGTTACCAGTTAGTGGCTTTGAAATGATGCCCTTTGGCAATTTAAGATTCTTATAGAGTTTCTTTGTGGGCCAGGAGTAAGAGGTTATCAGTGGAAATCTAGACACACACACACACACACACACACACACACACACACACACGTCAGCAAAGCAGATCAAGTGATTACCTGTTTTGGAAACTTACTTTTGAGTAATATCTTATTTGAGTAAAGAATTTCAAAAGTTAAAACAATTCTAGAAGTCATGAGTTTGAAATTCTACTTTCTCTTCGAATTTGAACAAAACCCCGGGGCCTCACTCAGTTCCTTTGCTTATGTAGTTAATTAGGGGCAGAGCTGGATTTGCTGTTGTGTCAGAGCTCAGTCTTTGACATTTGTTCTCTGATATTTACATGAAATAAAAGAAAATTACTGAATTGTGTTATGTCTTCCACAACTGTCATCAATGTCAAGTTCTACTAACTTCTGGTTTCCTTTGTAGGACTTACATAAATTAACTTTATAGAAGGTAGTTACCTTTGTAGGACTTACATAAATTAACTTTATCATTTTAGCAATTATTTGCTAAATTGCTCTCTATATTTTATAGGTAAATTCATTACTCTACATTCCCTACTACTAGTGACACAGTCTTGTGTCTTACAGTAATTTGATTTATGTGCAATTTTTCCTCAGGTAAAGGGTATATTGTCTGAACAAATTCATTTATCTCTTCTTTTCTTACTTCTTCTTTTCTTATTTAAAGCACAAAAAGCTAAATACATTGCTGTACTCATTTAGTAAAACAGTAAGACGTCAGAGGATTTCTGAATAGAAAAGTATAATCTCTTGACTGCTTTTGTGTGTGTGTGTGTGTGTGTGTGTTTGTGTGTGTGTGTGTGTCCTGAGGAAGATAGGGGATGGAGGTGGACAAGAATGTGAAGAAATGGTAACACAGAAAATAAGTTTGTCATTTGGGGCAAACATTTTAGCTATCACTAAGCCAAAATTATTCTCTTTAACAAAGATGATCTCTAAAACTACTCCCATTGAAGTATGCAAAAAGATCTTTTAAGAGGCATTCTATAGGGAAAATTTCAAGAAGAACTACAACTATCTGAGTTTGTATAGGTATGTGCAAATAGAGACAGAAAAGCCAAGATATATGAAAGAGTTAATTTTACCTGAACATGTGCAAAATTTAGACACAGAATTTAAAGACGTTTGGTAATCAGTCTATCAGTCTTCTAAGGAAGTTCACAGTGTGAATCAACATGGTCTGGTTCTTCTTTGGGGAAGAAATGGTAGAAGGCATAAAAAATACCAATGCACTCCGTGGGTCAGGGATAAGCACAGAAGAAAAGGAAGGCAGTGATTTCTGTAAGCCATACCTAGTGAAAATAGCAAGGACATTTCCTTAATTAAGTATCTAGTGATACTTGTTTGTTTATTCCTTCCTTCATCAAATAATTATTGGAATCCTACATTGTTCCTGACTCTGCAATAGGCCATCAGTGATACAAAGGATAGAGACAGAGTGCCTCCTTGGTGATGGTTTTGCTTTAATTGCATTTGTGATATAAATTAGTTACCTATTTAATAAACTCCAATCATGTGTCACTTCATGACTGTGATATGTTTTGAGAAACTGGCTGTTAATACAATTTTGTCATTGCATGAACATCACAGAGGGTACTTGCATAAGCCTAGGTGGTATAATACTACACACCTGGATATATGGTATAATTCATATGCTCCCTATGGGACTACCACTGCATATGCAGACCATTGTTAATGGAAACATTACTATGCAGCTCATGACAGTATATGTTTTGACCTAAATTATAGACAAAATTTTTTGCTGCCTTTATATATCTCTTATTAATAATGTAAAAGAAGTAAAAACTACTGGGACTCTTAAGCTATTAGGAAAAAACAGGATCCAAAATGGACAGTTTCACTTGAGATTGTGAGTCCCAAAGATGACAAAACAGGCAAGCAGCAGTGTCCAGGTATAGGTACCTAAATAAAATAATATATGGGGACATAGTTATCTGTTATACAATAGACAGTAAATGAGACCTATTTCTCTGCCTTTCCACCAAACCATCTAGCAAGATGTACTTTAGTTTAGAAGCAGTACACTTTCAAATCTTGCGTGAGTTCCCTGCATTAGGCAAGAAGCATTTTAACTTTAAGGTTTGTTGTAATAGTTATTATTTCTAAGACTTACATAAATAGTGATAGTATATGTATCTCTTGCATATTTACTGTGGACAAAGAGTTGAGAGTGAATTATATTGAATTTATCCATCTAATAATTTCCTTTGGGTGGCACTTGTTTTGTCTCAATTTGTGATAATGTATGTATACTCACAATGTTTAGAAGGAGCCAAATATCTGATGTTAAATTCTGACTTTAAGAGTGGATATGGGAGCTAGCAGGTGGTGTAGTGGTTATGGTGCTAGACTCCCACATAGCCTAATGCAGTTCAAGTCCTAGACCTGGCACCTTGAAACTCACACTGGGCAGATGTGCAAAATTCCAAGAGAACAAAAGAAAAGTCATTGCAGCATGGCCATCTCCTTGGGGAGTGATTTCTCACTTTCTCGCTCTCTGTTTCCCTGTGTTTCCAGTGAGCATGTGCACCCACTAGCAAAAACCGCTCTCTTAAAAAAA